CATAATCCAACTTCAATTCAGTTCAATCTTAAAGCAGTTGTTCTCAACCAGGGAGCCGGGGCCTACTAGGGGGCCTCAGTAAACTTCCAGGGCGGTTGAATAAGGCTGTGACATACCAAAACTACAACAAACAACTAATCGTGCCGAAATCTGACTGTGCTGTTGGCTGAGCTAAAAAGTCGCATTTGAACACAGATAACAGCCAACAACCATGTGTGGTTGGCAGTTTCGCGAGATAAATTAACTGTCTATCTATTTCAGCAGATGGCAGTAGTCTATATTCGCTATTCAAAAAGAGAAAACAAAACTCAAGACTGCGGATATACAAACCATACACAAAACAGTGCTAGCTTACCATTTTGAATATGAATCATGTTGATCACTTTCTTCAGTCCAGACAGCCGTGTCAGTATGAAAATATACTCGTATTGGAATGCTCCGGTAAGACAACATAAAATTATAACAGCATGTGTCTGTCCTCATGACACACACATGAATGAATAGAAAATCAAACTGATGTGTTTTTAAAATTAGTTATATTTAGTTACATTAACAATATTAATTAATTGCTAAAAAATATATATGTACAACCTTAAACTGCCATCATATTTAGTGTTTATTTGTTTTTATTAAAACAAAAGTACCAGAGGTAAATATCAAATTAGGGGGACTTGAAGTCAAAAAGGTTGATAACCACAACTGGTTAAAGAGACAGTTCACCCATAAATGAAAATGTATTTACTTTCACTTCACTTTCATGTCTTCATGTTGAACACAATAGAATATAATAAATAGAATAAATGTCTAGCTGATTTTTTTTTCCATCTATACAAAAAAAAAAAGTCAAAGGGCTGCATTATTTTAAACCCACTGACTTGCATTGTATGGACAAAAACAGTTGAAACATTCTTCAAAACACTTTCTTTTGTGTTTTTCAGAAGAAAGATAGTCATGCAGGTCATGGGTGAGTAAATGATCAGACTTTTCATTTTTTGGGCTTTTTTGTTTTAAAGCGTCAGGAAGTGTAAACAACAACAAAAAGTCATTTTAAACTGGCCCCTCAGACATGTGGTGTCTGTCTTGGATTACTGAGGTATCTACATAATTTACAGTTTAGTTTGCAACCGAGTTAAGTGCCAGTTCATCCAGAGATGAAAAGGTCAGTTCGCAGTGCAAAAAAGGTCTCACTATGATCATACGTTCTTTTTCATTTCATTCTGATCCTAAAGGCAAAAATCATCAAATGTATAATTTGAGATTGCGAATCTGTGCACTTGCTTTAGGCACTGATGTAAGTAGGCTGGATAATTTGCTGTCACAATTTATTTCTTTTTAACCAATCACATCTATACTCATTCCTCAACCACAGTCTACTGAATAGATATTTCTAGGAAAGGGGGTTGTGTTATGATTCACAATAATAACGGCTGTAAATTCAAAGTCTTTCTAAACCTAACTCAACATACAAAGCGCTCTTTTTCAAGTAAAATAAGCTCTGACCAAGTACACCATCAAGACTGTAAATGTTACTAAATGAAATCTGGTGCTTGCAATATTTCAAGGTGTTGATTACAGCAGTGACAGCTGGAGTTGAAGGTATAAATGTGACCTCCTCATCCCATTAAGTAACAGCAAGAACAACACACAACAAACACTTTTGTCCAATCTAGGTCAAGCATGTGAAAGTGAGTGTCACTATGGTCACAGAGGGTAGGGTACACAGTGAACCAGAAAAGACACTAGATACTGCCTAATACTACCTTCTCTTCATTCAGTCTATGATATAATCTAGGTGGGACCGGGTTAAATAAGCTTGCCATGATGAACAATGGATTATACATAATAAGTGGCTTACTATTGTGGTTTATGCCTAAAGTAAGCTTCTCTTGATTTATCCTTTCATACAATATGGGGCAGATTACCACTGAAGTTGGGGGATTTTTTTTAAACTTCACTTTTACATTAATCACTGCTTACTCCCCATCAGCATAGATCGCACAGATACACAAAGTTGCATACACTAATGTTCAACAGTTTGGGTTAGTAAAATTATTTTCTTCTTTTTTTTTTTTAAAGAAATACTTTTATTCAGGAGGGATACATTAAATTGATCAAAAGTGACAATAAAGATATATTGTTACAAAAGTTTTCTACTTCAAATTAATGTTGTTCTTTTGAAATGTCTATTCATCAAAGAATCCTGAAAAAGAAAGAAGAATGTTGCTTGAGCAGCAAAATCAGCAAAATAGAATGGTTTCTGAAGGATCATGTGACACTGAAGACTGGAGTAATGGCTGCTAAAAATTCAGCTTTGCCATTACAGGAATAAATAACATTTTAAAATACATTATAAAAAAAACCTCACACCTCTTTCAAGGTGAACATTCAAAAATGCCTAGGTGGCATAACTGCGATGTCATGTCACAACAAAACTGTAGAACAGAGTATCCCTTTAGACCCTAATGACTTTCAAAGTCATTCATGTGTTTTTTTTTTCTTTACAATCACATATCATCACATATTTTGACTATGAAAAGGCAGGTCAAATCAGGTTGGTTCAAATGTAGTAACACTAGGTAAACCCACTTAATATTTGACTAAATTAATGATTTGTATAAAAAATTACTTTGAAAAATATTTTTTAAACTATTATGAAAAAGATAATTGTCACATTTATTCTCGGTGCACGATTAAACCACTCAACATTTTTAAAGTCCATAAATCAAAACATTTGTAGAAACTGACATCAACCATTTTCAAAGAACCTGCCACTTTAAACTAAATTTTTCTGTTTCATCATCTCAGACATCCTTATTGGTCACTGACCCACATAAAATCTCCTACAACATTCTACTATTTAAACAAAGCCCCAAAGAAAGATAGGTAAAGGCAACTACTACACGCACCATCTATAACCCACTTCACTGACCAACAGTGGCCAATGCCTTGAGTTAAAACCACATATCAACAGAAGACATGGAAGCCACAAAAATACACAAACGTGTGCTGAGGTTGCAACTTGCAAACTGAAGCACCATCAGTCGATAAATTGACAATATGCATAAGAAAATCTGTCAACGGCAGCATGACAAAATACAGACAGGTAAGAGAGCAAACGCCTGTCTGAGCTGCACATTCAGTCTTCATTTACATTGATTCGGTTAGCAAGCAAGATGGACAAAGAATATCAATAGTAGAAACCTCCTCGGAATCAGAAGTAAAAAGAAGACTAAGAAAAGATCATATATTGCTTATAATATTGCTTGTCTCGTCCATTGCCAACATCTAGTTCAGCACCAACGTGTTGTGTTAGCATCTAAGCTATGTTTGCCTGGGATTCCTCTATGTATATCTGAAAGACATATACAGCAACCTAAAGGTGCGTTTTATTTAACAATTTATATCTATAAAGACAAGTCCTCTGAATATCAAGAGCTAATGATTATTTAGCACAATAGTCAAATGGTCCTCACCGGTGTGCTGCATGCTCTGTCGTTACTGAAACTGGAGCAGCTTGTCGAAAGGTGTCGCTTTCTCCAATTTATGTCAGAGACTCAACAGTTCGTCAGCATCTCGTTGGACCTAAGCGTAATTTGTCGTGAAAGGTTGCCGGTGTTTAACGTTAACGTTACTCCTTTTCTTAGACGAGCGTTTGGTTCTCCTGTTTGAGCGGCGTCGTAAAATCCTGCAAATCCGCCTGGACACATCATCATCTGTTAAAAAACATATTGCTCTTCCTTTCCGCGAGATGATCAGCACACCTTTCCGCCGGTGAATGTAACGTCAGCGTATCCACATATGTGTATTTTACATCATTTACAGATTAACATCCGTCGCTGCGGCGCTCAATCGAGCACAATCGTTTCTCCTTTTTCGGTTAAAGACAGACACACGCACGCGCGCGCGCTCGCTCGCTCGTACCGCGTGCTCCAACTATGCGCGCCGCCGCTTCTGTCTGACCACACGAGGTCGCGCATTGTCCCAGTACATGTCTGATTAAACAATGAGATTTGGGCATTCTGATATAATTAATTTACATTTAAATTTTTAAATTTTGTTAGGTATTAGGATAAATAATTTGTTTTGGTTTTCCTATTCATAGCCCGATCCTACAATATCACTTGCGTGATGTACAAATCAAAATACATTATATAGCCTAACTAAAGCAACAAATGTTTTCTTTTTACTTGTGTTCGTATGCTAACTAATTAGCCAGCTACTCAGCGCAATATTTCAATATGATAATAAAGTAGGACTATGGTACAATGAATAAATTAATGTCTGAGATGTACTCATGTTAAACAAGGATATTTCCAACTATTTTGTTGTTAGTTAAGGATATCTCCAAATACTAGCAGTTATTTTCAATATCAACTATTTTTGTTTCACCATACAGACTATTTAATGGCGCTTTACTAATATTTTTTTTTGAGAGACAGACAGACATATAGATAGGCTAGTAGTACTAAATAAAACTAGTAAAAGTACTTGTAAGTCTGGAATAGGTACATAGTCTGAAGTGTTAATATGTTTTAACTATATGTGATTCACAGATCCCCATACAATTATGGCATAATTTGCAGTTTACCACCAATAACAATTGAATAGACTATTAAGAAAGTGTCTAGTAAATGAGCAACACGGAGAATGTAATAATACTAGTGACTAATTTAATAGATACTAGGCCTACAGTAGTTATAACTGGAATGCGTGCTAATATCTCACCCAAATGGTGTAGTATAGAAATTGAAAAACATAGCCTAATCACTAATTGGATTACTTAGTAATTAAAAACAAAAAAGTACTAACATAAAAATAGGACTAGATGGTTTTAAGGAATAATAATGCTTATAACACTTAAAAAATAGAAAATGAAAACTAATTAAATAAATAAAAGTTTAAAATACTTTTATAATCGTATAGAAACTGCCATTATAGGTTCAATTTCAAATGCTTCCTTCTCTGCTGCCCTCTTGTGTATAAGAACAGTAATGCCGCTGTCCATGGTGCTTGTTTGGGTGGTTTTAATTCGCTGACAACACACGTGATCACGAGCTTCTGTAAATAGCTTTACTGTGTGCACGTGAACAAGTCACTTCCTTTGGAACAAACTACATCATTTGCCAAAACCACACTGCGTTTCGGTGGCTGCAAAAATAGGACATTTCACACAGCCAACCAATATGCTGGTCACACACAAGGGGATAAAGATCTGTGAGAGTTTATTATGAGATAAGATAAACGTAATCCTGCCAAAAAAGGCAGTCCTAAATAAAACTACACGAATAACCTCGATGTTTGGTTGATTTCTATCAAAGGTTGTCTATACAGTGCATTTCATTAGTGCATCATTTTACAAAGAACAAAAACTACACATGAAAGAAGAGTGGTGCAACTTAATTGAGATCGAGTCTCATGACACTGATCTTATTACAAGCATGGATTAGAAATAGGTGACAATTCTTAATGGACTCTCTGGACATTCTTTAATGTGTATATAATAATCTGTCTTTGAATGTAAATTCATATAAATGCCATCCTTCAGAACAACCACTAGGCACCGATTTTAAACAATATGAACTTCACACATTTTAAACTATATATAGAAACTTTCTAAACATACTATATAAATATTGTTAAAAAAGATTTGATGCGCCAGTATTTTTTTCTTCTTCATAAAAAACAGTTCTTCTTTTGTCAATCACAACAATTCTAATTCCACCGGACCACACGACTTCCAGTTATATTTTCATTTCAGTTTTTTTCTTCACCTTGAAGCAGACGGCTCTGGAAGGAAAATCCACTTCGGACCATCCAATGAGTACAATTTTTAGGCAGCTGAATTGTGATCGTATGTAGTGCTCCTTGATCCTTGTGTTTGAAGTGTTCCTACAGTTCAAAGCCCCCGTGAGGCCTTAAGTTTCTAAAGGAGCACGCAGAGGAATGCAGCCATCCATCTCCAGAGACTCAGGCCAGCCTTCATATTTATTACTACTTTTACTGTTCTTCATTCGCTGAAAGAAAGAGAAAAGAGTCTTGAGCTGCTTTAAGAATTCGAAATGGTAAATAAAAAAATTGAAAAGGCTAGAAACCTTGGAGTTGTGATTGATGATCAGCTGAATTTCTCACACCACATTGCTAAAACTGCCCGGTCCTGCAGATTTGCTTTATACAACATTAGGAAGATCAGTTCAGCCCTTTCTTTCAGAACATGCAACACAACTCCTTGTTCAAGCTCTTGTTCTATCCAGGCTGGACTATTGCAATGCTCTCTTTGGCAGGTCTTCCAGCCACTTCTATCAAACCTCTACAATTAATCCAAAATGCCGCTGCAAGATTAATCTTTAATGAGCCGAAAAGAACACACGTCACACCTCTGTTCATCAATTTGCACTGGCTACCAGTAGCTGCTCGCATAAAATTCAATTAATGTTTGCCTGCAAAACCACCACTGGCTCTGCACCCATTACCTAAATTCATTACTTCCGAGTTATGTGCCCTCTAGAAGCTTGCGTTCTGCAAGTTTGTTGCTCTTTTGTTAGTTTTGATTGCTTCTATTGTCCTCATTTGTAAGTCGCTTTGGATAAAAGCGTCTGCTAAATGACTAAATGTAAATTATTAACCCTTCAAAATGCACCGATAGCTAAACTCTACCCCCACTTTTTACTGTTGCTCACTCAGTCAACTCAGCTTTCCAAAACATCAATGAACAGCTCTATTTGCAGTAAAAGGTTCTCAATGCTCTCAAATGTGCACAAATCGCCTGGATATTAATTGTACATGGGCTAGAATGAAGTGAGACATTAAAAGGCTTTTTATCTGCCATTTTTGCTTTAAAGAAACACTGCAATTAATGTGATTAAAACATTTAGCAAAACATTTTAATCCAAAGCGACTTGCAAATGAGGAATATTAAAAGCAATTTATTATACAAGAGCAAATCACATCAGTACGCAGTGCCAAGTTTCAAGTTGTTTTCTTTTTTTTTTTTTTTAAGCAAATGGCTTTGATTGGGGTTTAAGTTCAGTACTCGCAGAAAAACAAGCATTTTGGCGCATTTCATGAAGGTCTCGGTGGAGGCTAGAAGGTAAAACCATATTCAGACAGAAATGTTCTGATGTTATATGATGTTTCTCATGTTATAAAGCTCAGTGTGGGTAGTGAATTAGAGATGGTCAAAAACTACACCGAGGTTTCTGTCGTGGTTGATTTTTTGGAAAGTTTTAAACAATTTTAGAGGATTTATCCAAACACAGGATATCTACAGATTTACATCAGGTAAAAAAAGCAAAAGCTTGTCTGATACTATGACAGACTTCATCAGTTTTTGTCAGAAATGTTTTAAGATGGGGCTTAGCGAAGGGTCAATTAATTACCTGATAAATTATATATATATATAAACATATATTTTTAATTAATTATAACTATATATAATCACTCATTTTATCCCTTAAATCTCATCTTTGATCATCAAAATTAATAATTTCTTCTTGCCTTAATATTGCTTGAATGGCTTGAACCAAACTCATATTGAACCGTGACCCCAAAACCAAGGTACGTACCGAACCGTGACTTCTGTGTACCGTTACACGCCTAAAAAAACAAGTATACAGAGACTCAAAAATCTAAGCTCATATGTGGACCTTTATAGCTTTATCTATTAATTATTATATTACATATTATCCATACATATATTAAATATTTTTTAAATTACATTATATTAAAATTTATTTAAAAGCTTAATAATGCTTATTAAACTAAAATGGCTCATGTAATGTATTAAGGATATAATAATTATATGTCATATAAAATAATTATAATAAATAATCATCACTGAAAGCTAGATGATTTTATGTTTAAAAATGTTTTACTATGTAGTGACCTTTACTTTGGAGCAAGAGAAACTGGGGGAGTGACTTTTGTGTCAGAGATGTGCCACTTTGCTTGAAGCTGATTAGTCAAATTTCAGTTTGAGATCTCTAAACCAGAACATAACCTGCCCCAGAGCAGGTTAGCTGTGGAGCGTAAGTTACTATGACGATGAACATGATGGCTAAAAGACAAACCACTTTCCTGGTGCCTAAAACCCAGAGTTGGCACAAACTACACTGAAACCTACCTGGCTACCCAGCTAAACCGGCTTCATGGAACAGGCCCCAACCCTACTCCTGAAGAGCTACTGTCCTGCAGACTTCAGTTCCAGCCCTGCTCCAACAAACCTGCCTGTAATTGTAAAGTAACCCTAAACACCTTGATTAGCAGGTTCAGGTGTGTTTGATTGTGGTTGAGCTGAAATCTACAGGATGGTAGCTCTCCAGGAGCAGGGTGGAGACCTTGGCACTACACAATGGCAAGAGGCAATATTGGATTAATAGCCATATATGTTTGGAACAAAAACTGATTCCTAAGAATTATACAGGGTCGTCTACAAGGCAATATATCAGGATTGTAATGCATTTTATGTATCGTTCTCTATTACATGCAACGGTAATTGATATTAATAGACTTTGGCTTGACTATGTTATCAATCAGCTAATAATGTGTTGCTAATGTTACACAAACCATGTTCCCTTAATATGCTAGTGATAAGAAAAGCCCAGCCCCACAAGTTGATGGGATTGGATACATGTTTGTGGCGGTAGGAAATGGGATGTTTCAAAATGCATTTGAGACATTCTTTGGTAGCAATGGTGTTGACTGATGAATTTGGTTTGTCTTTAAGCACATTAAAAACACCATACAGACATCTAAACAATGTTAAAAACTTGATTTCACAACAGGGGGTCTTTAAAATTGAGCTTGCATAAAAAAAAGAAAAAAAAAGCATATTTCTTCCCATAAATCCTACCTGTTCAAATGGGCTTTTATTTTCTATTCCTTTGGCTCCAACAAACACCCAGCTATCCCTGAAGCTCAGTTCCTTTGCTGCTGTGCTCCCCAGCTCCATAAACAGCCGTCGAGCTTCATCATTTAACCTGTGAATGGGTTTAACAATAAGTAAATCCAAGAAACAATGGAGAAAAAGAGCCCCTGATATGCTCTCGATTTAGGAGCAATTAAATCACAGAACATTAATCTGAGTTTAAAAGTAGAGTGCAGAAATAAATATACAATACAACAATATATAATACTCTTACTTGGTGGCCGGGTCATCAAAAGAAGCAACAAATACTAGCGTTCCTTCATGGAGAGGCCGAAGAAACTTCAGCAGCTCTGAAATGTCTGTGGCAGAGAGAGAGAACACTCATTTTAAGATCTGATGGACCACTTTCATGAGAAAACAGCAGCCTAACCAAAGTAATACATCACCCCAAAGGTCATCTCACCTCCTGCCCACATATCAAATGCTTTTATTTCCAAAGCATCTCCATTAACCCCTGAGAAACGGAAATTGATTTGTCATCAACAATGCATATACAACACATGCAAAAATATATCAGTACAAAAGAATGAGAGATTTACCATTTACTAAGGCAATATTGAGCCCTCTGCCAACATTGTTTTTAGCACTGCTGACAAGACTGTAAGACCAAACAAACAGAAGCCAATAAGCATCTCAAAACAACATTTTTATTAGAAAGACACTTAATTCTATGGTAGAAGTTAAGGGAGGATGAGAAAATGGAATATGAACAAAAGATAGGCATGGAAAGAGAAACCATCGCCTACTTGCATCACGTTCCACAATAAGATTAAGAGTCTGGTAGTGATGGCCATGAGAAAAACAAAGACGATATGATGAATACCAGTGGAGACAGAACAAGAAATGGGGAGGGAGGTTGCATGCAGAGCTTAGTGTGCAGTGGTGATCATGCAAGCTCATTAAAGAGACCAACAGTGACTAAGCAGCAGCGAAAAGGTCAGGCGACTTGCATTTTATCCTCCAGACAGATTTTGGGGCCGATGACATTGGCAGCACCGGAGATCAGCCGGAACGCGAGATGTTTGGGGGGACACGGTGCTGACAGGCCACATTTGTACTTGTGTGGTCGTGGTTCTGCAAAACAGCAGGTAATTTCATTGAATGATTAGATTGCTTAAATGTTTCTTCTAGAAAAATGCATGTTTTTAATGCAAAGTCATTTTACCTGGAGTGGGCTCTTCTTGTCCACCTATGAATGATAAAACATTGTGAATGACCATCAAGCCACTGAGATTGATATTAGATTATATTTTATAATCTAGTGGTCAACTGATTATATCACCATGGTCGATATTCTGCATTTTTTTTTTCTATTTTACTGATAGAATGTAATATATATTTTATTGCCGCAATTATTATGCTTGTGTCATTTACGATCATTAAGCTTTACATACACACTATCGGTGAAAAGTTTGGAATAATTATGATTTTTTTCAAATGTTTTTGAAAAAAAGTGCAAGGCTGCATTTATCTGATCAAAAATACAATAACAACAGTAATTTTGTAAAATATTATTACAATCTCTCTAACACCTTATTTTCGGTTTGAAGTGGGAGAGGTGTCACGATGAGTGGGATTTATGGACTTTTCTATTGCCTTTCATATTTCTTTTGAGAACAACTGATATCCAAATTTAATGTTGAATATATTATATTCTGTTGCGACAGGAGCTAGGTTGGATAGGTTGTATATAAGAAAATCAAAAATGAATAAAGTTATTAATACTGATACATTTCCGAATGGTTTTTCAGACCATGATATGGTGACTTTAGACTACAATATAGTAAAAATTTCAAGACCTAAGTTTTATTGGCATTTTAATGTTTAATGTAAATGTTTTTTTTATATATTTTGTCATTTTTGGGAAATTTGGAGACAAAGGAAAAATTGTTTGAAAATCTGACTCAATGGTGGGAGTTGGGAAAAGCACAGATTAAAGTTTTTTGTGAACAATTTTCTTATAATGTTACTGCTACTGTGAAGAGAAATGTGAAAGACGTGGAGAATGAGATTAGAGGTCTGCATACACGACCAGATTTTTTGCACTGCGGGATTAAACTCTCGAATAAAATGTGGTAGCAGTCGGTAATTCTGGTGTAATTTGAACGGGAGCGGGCGGTCTAACAATATCCTGTTCCCGACGTCCATTGATTCAGAACAGCATATCTGTTCTTTATTCTTATTGACCACCGGTACAGCCTGCATTCGGACTGTTATGCACGCGCTGCATGCATGCTTTCTGCGTCACACGTTTTATTTGCGGGGTCTGTGCACAGCATGTGCATAATGATGCTCAGAACAGGCAGGACAGGCAGGCCTTCAGACAGAACAGGCAGGTTGTCGATGAGTGACAGAGCAGAATAAGGATGGAGCAAAGTGTGGATGTGCTGTCCTTGAAGGACATTCAACTTGGTTTTGTTTATATTTTGCTTAGCCTATAATTTTAAATGACATATGTTGTATTTATTTATTTTTCTCTGCGACACTTTTCCTACTGTGTTAACAGAAAAATGTCAAACAAATTTAGTATTTTGACAAGACGAATAAAAATAGCTAATAGGCTATTTTTGTACAACCTACATTTTTATTTATTTTTTCTCTCTGCGACACTTTTTCCTATTGTGTTGTAAATGTTAAACGAATTGTATCCTTACAATGTTAACAGAAAAATGTCAAACGAATTTAGTATTTTGACAAGACGAATAAAAATAGCTAATAGGCTATTTTTGTACAACCTACATTTTTATTTATTTTTTCTCTCTGCGACACTTTTTCCTATTGTGTTGTAAATGTTAAACGAATTGTATCCTTACAAGACGAATAAAAATAAGAAATACAATTTTTGTACAACATTTTTATTTTCTCTGACACTTTTTTTCCCTACTGTGTTACATAAAATATTAAAGGGGTCCTATTATGCTCTTTTACAAAGTCTTGATCTTGTTTTGGGGGTGTACTAGAACAGGCTCTCATACTAGGTTGTTCGAAAAACACATTATTTTTCACATATTTTACATTATTACAACACCTCTCTCCCCAGCCTGGCATGAACGGCTCGAATAGTTCCTGTATCAGATAAAGGCCCGCCTTCTGAAATACGAAATGTGCTGTGATTGTGGGCGAGTGTGTGTTGTGATTGGCTCCACTCTGCGCCTGGTCGGGAAATGTCACGCCCCTTACCATAGC